ATCTTTTCCCCCCAGGGTTCCCCGAATATATATGACCACGAAGTCACCATAGAAGCGGATACTTACTTGCCTGTGGATGAAACCCTGATTCCTATAGGTTGGTGAATTTAACCTTTTTGTGTTATGTGGGATCGTGGATTGGCTCTTGAGGCCAAGAAAGGACATTAGTGGAGAAAGTGGTGAAATCTTTATAAAGTCTGTAGTTTAGTTAATAGAATTATTCCAGTGGTAATTTCTTAGTTTTGATATGTGTACTGTGTTTATGTAGTCTTAGCATGAGGGAAAGCTGGGACAGAGATGTAGTATTTTTACCACTTTTCTGTAAGTCTAAAATGATTTCAAAATTTTAAAAATTTTTAAAAAATGGTGAGTAAGATAATACTTTACTGGGGTTGGGCATGGTGGCTCACACCTGTAATCCCAGCACTTTGGGAGGCCAAGGCGGTTGGATAACTTGAGGCCAGGAGTTAGAGACCAGCCTGAGCAACATGGTGAGACCCTGTCTTATTTTTTTTTAAGATTAAAAAAATGTTTTTTTGGCCGGGTGCAGTGGCTCACGCCTGTAATCCCAGCACTTTGGGAGGCTGAGGTGGGCAGATCACGAGGTCAGGCGATCGAGACCATCCTGGCTAACGTGGTGAAACCCTGTCTCTACCAAAAACACAAAAAATTAGCCGGGTGTTGTGGCAGGCGCCTGTAGTCCCAGCTACTCGGCAGGAAAATGGAGTGAACCCGGCAGGTGGAGATTGTAGTGAGTCAAGATCGTACCACTGCACTCCAGCCTGGGCGACAGATAGAGACTCCATCTCAAAAAACAACAACAAAAAAAAATTTTTAATGCAAGAGAAATTTTTTAAAAATTTAAATAAGTTTACTGGATACTCATCTTACACCAGGTAAGAGCTTTTGTTTTAGTTGGCTTTTTTGGGGGTTCGGGGGAGGGGACAGGGTCTCACTCTGTTGCCCAGGCTGGAGTACAATGGTGTGATCTCGGCTCATTGCTGCCTTGACCTCCGCAGGCTCAGGTGATTCTCCCATCTCCACCTCCTGAGTAGCTAGGACCACAGGCATACACCATCATGCCCGTTGTGTTTTTTAGTAGAGACAGGGTTTGACCAGGCTGGTCTCAAACTCCTGGACTCAAGCAATCTGCCCGCCTCGGCCTCTCAGAGGGCCCGGATTACAGGTGTGAGCTGCTGCGCCCAGCCACTTTGTTGTCTTTAATGGGTTGAGTTTATGGCTGCTAGTTCAAACTTTTTATGAGGAAGAAAGGTAAGCATGTGAGCCTGCATACCAAACAACAACTTCAGTTAACAGCAGGCATTAGGAACTCCCATAAATAGAGTGACTACAAAACTAATTGGAATAATAAGGAAAAACTGAGATCAATGGGGTCAAATTTTTGGCATCACGGTTTTGAATATTTTCCTGGCTCCAGGGCTGAGTTTAAAGGCTTTTCTGTTTGTCTTGGTAGCACATGTCATCTTGTGATATTTACATGACTCAGTAGAAGGGCATGAGTAAGCTGGCCCATCTGGTCCTAGAGTCAGAATTATTGCAGTAGAACTATATGTTGTGAACTGCAAGGAAAAAATAGTGGTGGCTGCTGTTTTATGACTGATAAGAAAGAAAGTGAACCAATTAGCTTATAAGTGGAGGTTATGAAATAAGTGCACATTTATTTGTGTGTATTTATGAAATCTTCTCATGCTATCTGGTTGAGTTGATCAGATGAAAATCACAACAGGGCATAATTTGTGCATTTAAAGGCCCTGTAAAGGCCAAGTTATTTTACTTGATTGTAAAAAGTCATTGTGGCAAAGCATAGTAGGGCTTAACATGCACTCTAATGGAATGTATAAAACCTGTGTTCGCTGGGTGTGGTGGCTCACACCTGTAATCCCAGCACTTTGGGAGGCTGTGGCAGGGGAGGATCACTTGAGCCCAGGAGTTCGAGACCAGACTGTGCAACACAGTGAGATCCCATCTCAACAAAAAATTGAAAAAAAATAGCCAGGTGTGGTAACACGCACCTGGGGTCCCAGCTACTCAAGAGGCTGAAGCAGGAGGCTCTCTCAAGCCCAGGAGTTGGAGGCTGCAGTGAGCCGTGATCTCTGCTACACTCCATCCTGGGCAACAGAGCAAGACCCCATCTCAAAAAAAAACCTAACTGGGAATATATATGCTATATTTGAGCTTTTTCTTTTTTTAAAAAAAAAGACCAAACTATCATTTATAATCATCATCTTTTCATGAAAGAATATTTTAGTACCATAAAAGTATAAACATATTTAATCTCAGAATAACAACTATTTATATTGAATTTATGTAGCTTTTTAAAAAATATATGGTATCACTTGGAGCCAATACTGTAAAAAAAAATAAATAGCAGATTATCCAAATGTATCTGTTTTCTGTGGACCAGTGAAAATGTTATCACTAACTCATAATTGAGAACTAGTAATTGATCTGTAAGGCCACTTCTATCTCTTGCATTCTTTAATTCTACGAGGCTCCTAGCACAACATTTTAATGCTATTTCCACAACTCTTCAAATGCTTTAGAACTCTATCATTGAAGTAAATAAGTTGCTGCAACTTCAGAGCTCATGAAAAATTTGTAATTCTCTCCTACCTATCCATACTTGAGCCAGACCTACATGTTATACCTGTTTGCCCAGTGACACTTAAACAGAAATTATAGTATTGTTTTCTCTTTTCTCAGAAGTCCTTAAGAAACAAGTTTATTGTCTGATTCCTTTGAAACTTCCTCCAAAAATGGGTGGTAACTGCTACCCTGCACTTTAGGAATGTAAGAATTCACATGTCTAGCCCCCTTTCAACTGAGAGCCCAGATTTTCTCTTTTTTTTTTTTTCGTTTTTGTAGAGACAGGGTCTCCCTATGTTGCCCAGGCTGGTCTTGAATCTCTAGGCTCAAGCAATCCTCCCACCTGGGCCTCCCAGAGTGCTGGGATTACAGGTGTGAGCCACCACGCTGGTCCTCATCTGACTCTTAACACTGATCAAAAGCCCATGAGCTTAATTTTGAAAGAAGTCCAAAAGGCTTGCCCATCATTTGCTCATTCAGAAGTGTTGCTGGGCTTTCCAGGAGCTGGCAGTCTATGGGAAGGGTCAGCCAGAATTGTGTCCATTACTCTGGAAAATATCAGGATAGACATAACTAGGAGACTTGGCACAGAGGGCAGGCACTGCTGTGGGGGCTTCCAGATAGAGGAAATGAGAGTTAAATAAAACCTGGAAGGGAAAGTGGAAGTTTGCCAGGGAGTGAGGAGGAGAAAGGTGTTCCAGATAAAGATGAACAAGCGTGGGCGGTGCAAGAAACAGCAGGACTAGCCCAGGGAAGTGCTGTGCTTTTGAAGCAAAGCATTTGGGGGACAATTTTAGTGGCAGAGAGTAGATGGGCCTGGAGAGGTTGATTGGGGCCATGTCAGATCTGTACCAGGCTCTGTGGAACTGCGATCCCTACGGTGGCCCTGGGTGGCCCCAGGCTGGCCTGGAGCTCAAGGCTGATCCACATAGCTGACTCACAGGTGTACTTGAGTCCAGTCTCAAACTTCAGCATGTTCTGCCAGAGCTGGACTGAACCACAAGGCCACTTTCCTGAGACGTGCTACAAGAACCTATTAGACCAGGCCGGGCACAGTGGCTAACGTCTATAATCCCAGCAATTTGGGAGGCCGAGGTGGGCAAATTACTTGAGATCAGGAGTTCAAGACCAGCCTGACCAACATGGCGAAACCCCGCCTCTACTAAAAGTTCAAAACTTAGCTGGGTGTGGTGGTGGGTGCCTGTAATCCCAGTTACTAGGGAGGCTGAGGCAGGAGAATTGCTTGAACCTGGGAGGCAGAGGGTGCAGTGAGCCAAGATCACACCACTTTACTCCAGCCTGGGAAACAGCGAGACTCCGTTTCCAAAAAAAAAAAAAAAAAGAAAGAAAGGAAGAAAGAAAAGAACCTGTTAGACCGGTCGT